CTCACGTAACTGGTTCGTTAGAACTTTTTAAGGTTCCACTATTCGTAGTGGTTTGAAATTTTGGTAGCATGGGTTGTTCATTCTAAACTTTCGATCTAAAATATTTTCAAGATGGCCACCCCTTCCGGTCTACCGAAAATAGACCACAACTTCGTTATTTTAAATGGAATGCTATAGTTTTTATTACACCTTTCAATTATACGTAAAAGAATATGTTGACTTTGATAAAAGTTGTTGGTACCTAGCGTTTTTTGTTTTCGAGTTATTTTGATTTTAAGTGTTTTTTGACAAATTTCACCATGGTCTTTAAAAGCCCATATCTCAGCTAACGATCATTCAAAAAAGCTCTGCATTGGCACGACTACTCTACAGATGCTGCCAAATAGATTGTCATTTGTTGTATCAGAGAATCTTATACAGGCTGGTCAAAAATTGAATTATCGTTTCTCAATATTCAATTGCGAGAAAGTCGAAAATTTTAAATGGAACACCCCATATTTCTTTACCCTATCAGAAAGGGAATTTAATTCTCTACAAATTATCTATAAACATTCCTATACCTATTTATTGTAGTTTCCCTGATATTGGAAAATTAATCAAAATCAGACATAGAATCCCAAAGCCCGTTTGTGTTTTTGTTAGCAGGCCAAGACATTTTGACAGTTCATCGTTTAATTTATTTAAATTATTATTGGTATTATTTCTACAATTAACTATGGTTGAATAACCTTTAGCTTGCTCGCTTTTATTTACCAAAAATAACCAACAGAAAAACGAATAAATGAAACAATGAAAAACAACAATTTAATAACAGAAATTAGAATGAATAACATATAAAAAAACAAAAACTTAAAATTATAAAAAAATTAAAACTGTTCGATATGCTGACCATTCACCATTAAACATTTTTCAACTCTTCTTTCGACTTCTACGGTTGTGGCCCGTAGAAGTTGGTCGCCATCAATAGTACGTAGTGCACCCATCACTATATCACGCAACTCTTGTCGTGTGTTGATCGGTGAATTGTACACTTTATTTTTTAAGTGACCCCACAAATAAAAATCCAATGGTGTTAAATCTGGAGATCGTGGAGGCCATTGCTATGAATATAAAAAATTTGTAGAGAATTAAATTCCCTTTCGGATAGAGTAAAATAAAATTAAAATTTTCGACTTTTTAGCCATTGAATATGGAGAAACAGTAATTCAATTTTTGACCACCTGTATAAGATACTCTGATACAAGAAATGACAATCTATTTGGCAACATCTGAAGAGTGATCGTGCCAATTTAAAGGTTTTTTTTAATAACCGTTAACTGAGATATAGGCTTTTAAAGAGCATAGTGAAATTTGCCAAAAAAGGTTAAAATCAAAATAACTCGAAAACAAAAAATGGTAGGTACCAACAACTTTTATCAAAGTCAGCATATTTTTTTATGTATAATTGAAAGGTGTAATAAAAACTATAGCTTTCCATTTAAAATAACGAAGTTGTGGTCTACTTCCGGTGGACTGGAAGTGGTGGCCATCTTGAAAATATTTTAGATTGAAAGTTTAGAATGAACAATCCATGCTACCAAAATTTCAAACCTCTACGAATAGTGAAACCTAAAAAAGTTCTAACGAACCAGTTACGTGAGACACCCTGTATATATATATATATTATTTTAAAGTAGAGACTTCAAGGTTTTTTTTAAGCTATACCTTATTTCTTAGTTTTCAAAAATAAGACTTCAGTGATGTTTTGAAATTTGACAATTTTTGCTGCAACCCAAATTTTAGAGTGTTTCATTCTAAATCTTTTCGGCCAACTTTTTTTAATAAAAATAAATTGCCATATATTATCTTAAAGCAGAGTCTCCAAGCTTTAATATAAGCTAAACCTCATTTCTTAGTTTTCATAAATAAGACTTCAGTGATGTTTTGAAATTTGACAATTTTTGCTGCAACCCAAATTTTAGAGTGTTTCATTCTAAATCTTTTCAGCCAGCTTTTTTTAATAAACATAAGTTGGCATATATTATCTTAAAGCAGAGTCTCCATGCTTTAATATAAACTAAACNTTCCCAATTTATTTATATTTTTGTATTTTTCCATCATTTTGCATATATTTTAAAGTACTGAAGATGAAACAATCGTTTCGAAACATGTCTGCTCTTTAATAATGAATTTTAATATTTAATTATTTCTCACAAAAAGTTTTTACCTTTTCTATTTTTTTAAATATTTTCTAATAAACATAGATTGCTATATATATTATTTTAAAGTAGAGACTCCAAGCTTTAATTTAAGCTAAATCTCATTCCTTAATTTTCATAAACAAGACTTCAGTAATATTTTGAAATTTAACAATTTTTGCTGCAACTCAAATTTTAGAGTGTCTCATTCTAAATCTTTTGAGCCAACTTTCTCTAATAAACATAGATTGCTATATATAATTTGAAAGTAGAGACTCCAAGCTTTAATTTAAGCTAAACCTCATTTCTTAGTTTTCATAAATAAGACTTCAGTGATATTTTGAAATTTAACAATTTTTATTGGAACCCAAATTTTAGAGTGTTTCATTCTAAATCTTTTCAGCCAACATTTTCTAATAAACATAGGTTGCTATATATAATTTTAAAGTAGAGACTCCAAGCTTTAATTTAAGCTAAACCTCATTTCTTAGTTTTCATAAATAAGACTTCAGTGATATTTTGAAATTTAACAATTTTTGTTGCAACCCAAATTTTAGAGTGTTTCATTCTAAATCTTTTCAGCCAACATTTTCTAATAAACATAGGTTGCTATATATAATTTTAAAGTAGAGACTCCAAGCTTTAATTTAAGCTAAACCTCATTTCTTAGTTTTCATAAATAAGACTTCAGTGATATTTTGAAATTTAACAATTTTTGTTGCAACCCAAATTTTAGAGTGTTTCATTCTAAATCTTTTCAGTCAACATTTTTTAGTAAACATAGATTACTATATATAATTTTAAAATAGAGACTTCAAGCTTTAATTTTAGCTATATATCATTTCTTAGTTTTTATAAATAAGACTTCAGTAATATTTTGAAATTTGACAATTTTTGCTGCAACCCAAATTTTATAGTTTTTCATTCTAAATCTTTTCAGCCAACTTTTTTTAATAAACACAAATTGCCATATAATATCTTAAAGCAGAGTCTCCAAGCTTTAATATAAACCAAACCTCATTTCTTAGTTTTCATAAATAAGACTTCAGTGATATTTTGAAATTTGACAGTTTTTATTGCAACCCAAATTTTAAAGTGTTTCATTCTAAGTCTTTAAAGCCAACATTTTCTAATAAACATAAATTGCTATACATAATTTTAAAGCAGAGACTCCAAACTTTAATTTAAGCTAAACCTCATTTCTTAGTTTTCATAAATAAGACTTCAGTGATATTTTGAAATTTGACAATTTTTGCTGCAACCCAAATTTTAGAGTGTTCTATTCTAAATCTTTTGAGCCAACTTGTTTTAGTAAACATAGCTTGCTATATATAATTTTAAAGTAGAGACTCCAAGCTTTAATTTAAGCTATATCTCATTCCTTAATTTTCATAAATAAGACTTCAGTAATACTTTGAATATTTAACAATTTTAGTTAGAACCCAAATTTTAGAGTGTTTCATTCTAAATTTTTTCAGCCAACATTTTCTAATAAACATATATTGCTATATATAATTTTAAAGTAGAGACTCCAAGCTTTAATTTAAGCTATATCTCATTTCTTAGTTTTCATAGATAAGACTTCAGTGATACTTTGAAATTTAACAATTTTAGTTACAACCCAAATTTTAGAGTGTTTCATTCTAAATCTTTTCAGTTAACATTTTCTAATAAACATAAATTGTTATACATAATTTTAAAGTAGAGACTCCAAGCTGTAATTTAAGCTATATCTCATTCCTTAATTTTCATAAATAAGAGTTCGGTGATATTTTGAAATTTAACAATTTTTGCTGCAACCCAAATTTTAGAGTGTTTCATTCTAAATCTTTTCAGCCAACATTTTCTAATAAACATAGGTTGCTATATATAATTTTAAAGCAGAGACTCCAAGCTTTAATTTAAGCTATATCTCATTCCTTAATTTTCATAAATAAGACTTCAGTGATACTTTGAAATTTAACAATTTTAGTTACAACCCAAATTCTATAGTTTTTCATTTTATATCTTTTCAGCCAACATTTTCTAATAAACATAGATTGCTATATATAATTTTAAAGTAGAGACTCCAAGCTTTAATTTAAGCTATATCTCATTCCTTAATTTTCATAAATAAGACTTCAGTGATACTTTAAAATTTAACAATTTTAGTTACAACCCAAATTCTATAGTTTTTCATTTTATATCTTTTCAGCCAACATTTTCTAATAAACATAAATTGTTATACATAATTTTAAAGTAGAGACTCTAAGCTTTAATTTAAGCTATATCTCATTTCTTAGTTTTCATAAATAAGACTTTAGTAACATTTTGAAATTTGACAATTTTTATTGCAACCCAAATTTTAGAGTGTTTCATTTTAAATCTTTTCAGCCAACATTTTCTAATAAACATAAATTGTTATATATAATTTTAAAATAGAGACTCCAACCTTTAATTTAAGCTATATCTCATTTCTTAATTTTCATACCTAAGCCTTCAGCGATATTTTGAAATTTGAAAGTTTTTGTTACAACTCAAATTGATCCAAATGTTAGAACTTTTAATTTTGGTTCTTTTGGTCTAATTTTATTCAAGCTTTATTTTAATAAAATCATTTTTTAGTAGCGAGTTAGAGAATTTTTTAAATATTTATGTAACCCACGTTTTACACGAATTAAATTTGGTCAATAACAAGTATTCAAGATAAACAATTTTTTATTGGAAATTAGTTGATATCAAAACATTTCTCGAAATTTACGTAAACCAAAATATTTACGATAAACTTCCCCGTTTTTAATCTTCAAAGACTTTGAACTTTAATAAAATAAAACAACTCTGAAATGTTACTTTACACTTTTTCTATTTATTGATAGAGTTTGCAAAAATTTCTTTTAAACATGTTTATTTATTTACAAACTAACAATCGTTTTCTTTGACACATTGTCCTTTGGAATTGTGAAGGTATCCAGATTTGCAGTAACATCCTGGAATGCATTTATAAGCGCAAGCTCTTGGATTTTTTTGAGCGCAAGTTGGCTCGCAAGCGGATCCGCAAGTTCTGTATTCTTCGTTAGGTCCGCAATTTTGAGCGGCAAAAACTTAAAAAAGAATTTATAATAAAGGGTTTATTTAATAAATAGAATTTATGTATTTACCTGATACTAAAAGCACAGCAAAAATCACCATGAAATAAAATAACTTCATTTTATTCGGTTTTATTGTTTCAATTTGCGAAATAAATTCAGAACTAATTTTCCACCAATTGCATTAACTTCATGTTTGTATTTCCTTATAAAGTATTTGTTATCTTAAGAGGTTATATGTTATTTAAGATAGTCAGTTTTTTCGCAATATTATTTATCGCAGTTTAGTTTTTTTGTATTATTCACTTTAGCAAAGTGAATCAAGTTAAAAAAAATCTTGTTATTACTAATCTTATTACTGGAAATGTTTTTTAAATTACTTTAGTTGAATTTTTTTTAAAATAATTTATATATATTTCATGGGACACTGTAGTCGGTTCAGATAAAGGTTGAAACTCAACTTATATAGATTAAAAACTATAAGTTAAACGTAAGAAGATTAAAGAATGTAAAGAAAGATTACTAAAAACCTTCTATATTGATTTAACTTTAGGTAATACAACTTATTACATAGAAAAAATCATTCTCAATCAAAAGCAGATTTTGTAAACTTTGTAAAATTTGATTAAACTTTAACTAAACATTAAATAAAAAAAGCTAAAGAAAATAGCAGTGATTTTTTCATCTTTTTACTTGAATACTTTAAAATATTTTATCTTTAAATACCAAAGTTGCAACAATTATTTAAAAGTGTTGTCGTTAACATATAAATGATTTTAATGTTTTTGAATATTAAATGCACTGTAGGTTATGGATAAATAAAAGTTTTGTTTTGAAGTTAAGTCCTTTTTATCAAATTTATTAATCACTTTAGCAAAGTGTATCAAGTTAAAAAAAATCTTGTTAACAAATATTTAAAAATACATCTATTTTCGACTTCTAAGAATTTACGATATTTAGATTAACTGGAAATATTTATCGAATGTTAAGTTATTTATTTTGTTTTTTAAAGATAAGAATGTTGCACAGAAAGTTTCACAAAAACTTTTTCAGATAAGTTACTATTCGTAAAATTGACGATTCAAAAAGATGTTTTATGGGAGTAAACTTTACGATGGATCTAAAAGTGATGTTTGCGTTTTACAGAAGTCCCCGTTTATAAAACGTTTTCCGTGATGGAACTATAAAAATGGTATCAACAATGTTGTAAATATATGAATTGAAATCGCAATATACAGAATGTCCCCGAATCGAGTTACAAAGATGAAAAAAAAATTTATTACTGATTTTTCAAACTAGAATTATGTTCAAACCACTAAATCGCACGAACTTTATATTCTAAGCTAACTAATTATTCCCATTTTTATGTAAAAATTAGACTTTTCCTAAATTAAAAATTACCTAAACCATAAAAGCTACATTTTAAAAGATCCATTATATTAGATGTATAATATATGATGAAATAATAATAAGTAGTGACCTCTAAAGTTTTTTTATTAATTAAGTTTATATACTTGGTACTAGTTTCGACATATTATGATGTCATCATCAGCCAAATCTACAAAAGGACATAATAATGATCTTAAAAAGTATAAAAAAAAACAATAAAATTGCTTAAATATATCTCAACTTACAGTCAAATAGTTAAAAAATTATAAACTGCTTCATACCACAACTTTATTCTCTCATAAAATTCCATAAGGACAATAAATTTACCCATTAGGCCTATAACCACATGTTTTGACTCTCCTACCTCTAAAATTACTGATTTTATGTATGACACTCTCTGAAAAACTCATTGCAACTCATCAAAAAACTTAAAACATATTTTACCTGATAATAATACACTGGTATCCTTCGATGTGGTCAATCTATACACAAATGTTGATACCACTTACACTTTAAAGGTGATTGAAGACATATTCTTTCAACATTTTAAAGATAAAACCATCACTGCTGACTAATCACATAATTCAACAAAACTATTGTCGCTTTGATAATAAAATCTACAAACTTGAACATGGACTTCCTATGGGTCTTTCCATTTCTGGATTATTAGCTGATTTGTATTTAGATAATATTGAAAAGAACTTCATTGTTAACTCAAAAAATCCATTCTTTAAGAATATCATAAAATGGTATAGATACGTCGACGACATTATATGTGTGTGGAATGGAAGTAAATTCGATCTTGATAGTATGCTATCTTACATGAACAACATCCACAAGAATCTTAAATTCACCTTGGAGATAGAAAAGGACAACTGCTTAAATTTCCTAGACTTAAAAATACAAAAAATTGATAATAATTTTAAGTTTGACATTTTTAGGAAGCCCTCATCTTTAAATACTGTCATCCCTTATGATTCGTTCCATCCCAATAACTACAAATTAGCTGCTTTCCAGGCTTTTATTGTCAGACTATTGAAATATCC